TTTTTTTTTTTTTTTTTTTTTTGTTCAAAGTTTCCTTTTTTTTTCATTGTTTATTTTTTAGTTATCAAAATTTTTTTGGCTTTTAGAGTAAAGTTTCACGGAAATTTTTAATATTTGATTATTTGGCGATTGTTTAATTCAGTAATTCTTTAAGGCAAATTATTTTTTTTTCAACAGTTTTTTTCATGAGAGAATAATATAAGTATTTTTTTTAAAGTTGGTTACCGAGTTTTTTTCTTTTTTTCTTTTTCAGGCTTTAAACATGCAATTACAACATATTCATATGCGGATTACTTCAGAAACAGATCAGTTTAGTGAATGGTTTGAAGGTATCGATCGAGTTGAATACTCGGGCAGTGTTGCAGAGACAGGTAAACTGCTTTTTGCAAATTGTCTGTAAACTTCGAATTTTTTACACAAATCTTTTTTGGCAGCAATAGTCAACCCAGTTGAGCAAACAATTATAATTGCTGTAACCATTAAAGTTGTTCATTTGGGTCACCAAAAATTATTACTTTAATTTATTTATTTTTACTACAAATAACCAAGACAACATTATAGTTTATGGTATTCTTTTTCTTCTTCTGTCACTGTGCTTATTGTTCTAAGATTGGTTGAACAAAAAATTTGTTGAAAAATCTTAGGGTTTTCTTTTGCATTTGGATAACCATTGATAAAGTACGGAAAGTAAAATTGACAATAACAGCAGCAACAAAAAAAAGAAAAAAAAAAAAAAAACAGTGAAAGCATCTTTAATTATATCTGTTTTTCTTTTAATTTTGGTAATATTCTGCTGAACGGATTTTCTTTTTTTTCACAAAAATAAGACTGAAAAATATTAGTATTCATTGAATAATACGTTGCTGATAACCTGCTTTCTTCTCTTTTTTTTTTCTTCTACTTAATGTTTTTTTTTTCGATGGTTTAGAATTTTTGAAGCATTAAAACAATAAAACACTGAAAACGAAAATGCGAGAAAGGGAAAAAAAAGAAGGTAAAAAACAAAAATTATCTAATCACCAATTACAACAATTCTTAAATTCTTTCTGTTTTTTTTGCAGCTTTTTGCAGCTCAATTTTATGCACTTTGAAAACATATAAAACTACAAAAAAAAAAATTGAAAGCAAAAAAAACCATTATTCACTTAGGCTCCTATTTATTTTGGTTAGGCGACCTAAAAAAAACGGATAACAGAAGCATTCAAAAAATAGTTCTTTTTTTTAATTCAAATTTTTAATTTGCATAAAAATATTTGACGAATGTGAGAGAAATTAAACGATAAACTGGCAAAATAAGTTTATCACACATCTGTTTGACAATTTAAACTGAAGTGGATACACTGCATATATA